CCTCCGCCCCGTTGCCGGGCGGGGCTCCCCGGCCTCCCTCGGGGGGTTGGGTGGGACCAGGGGGTGGAACCCAGGAGGGAGGGACCCGCGGAGGGACTCCGGGGAACAGGAGCCAGCGCGTTAGAGACCTGGGCGAGGGAGCCGCGGAAAGCCAGGCGCTGCAGGAGGGGGTGGGTGCGGAGGCCGAGGCGCCACCCAGAAGCGGAGAGGCAGAAGCCGAGAACGCCCCCAATCAGCTCAGATAGTCCTCTCCGAGAGACCCCCGGGGAGGGACGGGCGGAGACCCCGAAAGGCAGACCCCTGCGACAAATTTCTCCGTCCCGGACGGAGAGCGCCGCCCAGAGTGGGACGAAGACAGCGGGTCGGAGGACAACGCCCCCCGGGTGGCCTGGGAGACCCCAGGGCGACTCCGGCGGCCGCCCGGGCCGTGTTGGGCTGGGGTGACCTTCTCTTGGGGGCGATGGGCACACGGGCCCTGAAAGGCCTCCTTCTCCTTCTCTTTCTCCCGGGACTGCCGCCGCGCGGGGCCTCGGCGGGGAGCCTGCACAGCCCAGGTGAGTCCGGACGCCGCGGCCGGGCCATGGTACCCCTCCTCGGTCTCCTGGCCCAGGCCCGGGGCCCCGATGCTGGGGAGGGGACGGAGCAGGTGCTGGGGCAGCTGAGCAGGCAGAGGGCTCCCGCCAGGGCGGGTGTGGAGTCGCTGGCTGAGGGTCCAGTCGGGAGTGCACGTCGGCAGACGAGGATGCCCGGCCGCGCTGCGGACCTCCCCAGGCCCCGCGTTGCCGCGCAGGCCTGTCCGAGTGCTTCCAGGTGAATGGCGCCGATTACCGCGGCCACCAGAACCGCACCGGCCCGCGCGGGGCAGGCCGCCCGTGCCTCTACTGGGACCAGACGCAGCAGCACAGCTACAGCAGCGCCAGCGACCCCCAGGGCCGCTGGGGGCTGGGCGCGCACAACTTCTGCCGGTGAGCGGCGGGGCCTGCGGGAGGCGCGGCTTCTGTGTGGGCGGGGCGGGGG